CTTCTTTATAGCGTTTTATTTATAAAGTCCAATATATTTAGCATTAGGCCAGTTATTCGACCAATGATAGCACTGATCAATTGACAAGCGTGCTCTTATACCTGGTAAATTGCCCAGCTCCGCTGTCAAAGAGAATCTAACTCCAGATAAATGTTTTAACTTTATGCGGTCCCTTGAAGACAATCGAATCAACTAGATTGAGTAGTGGTTAGTGTAGATGTTTCTACTGGGTAGATTTTCTAAAACCAAAAGGATCACGTAACCTTTGTGTATTAGCCGACTGAACTACTTCCCTTCTAAATTTTGACTAAACATAACTGAGAGATAAGCCAGCACTCAGGGCTCGAAACCCAGTAAAGTCCAACTATTTCAAATTTTGCAGTCACTAATCACTAATATTGGTGTCAAACCAGTTTCAACATATTTCTTTTAGATGTTTGGATGTGCTGTCGATATCGGCCGACTCATTGGTCGCTATCCTTTTCCGTCCATCCATCGGGGATGCCTCTATGAACAGACTTATCGCAGATATACTAAATCCTCGCAAACCAGAACCTGCACCGCCGCCACCTCGAGAAGCTCCATCGACAAGGACTGACTTCTGTGTTGAGGGACTTCTGGGCAGGACCAGCTCATCCCCATCTGCTTCTACTCCTGATGTTTCTTCTGGGCGACAAGAAACCGGTAATGTTAGCCCCGAAAGTCTAAGTGGAACTGAAGAAGCATAGGTGAATTTGTGGCGCTAGAGATCTCTGTACATTGTGTATGATAGAAGGGCTAGCGATTGGAATTTTGGAATTCTCTCAAGCCACATCTTGCCAGCCTTTTTTGGCTTAAAATTACTTGCAGTTAGTTGGCATCTCGTGAGGAGCTTGTGTACATTATTGAAATATATTTTCTTATACATACATATAAACATATTATTTCTGGAATAAAGTTTTCCTGGTCTGCTGTTGCGTAGTGAGTGTGCAGTAGGGCATTTAACTGTAATTGCACAGCTCCAATTAAAGTCAGAATGTAATTGCCCGTCCAAGTGTGTTTGTTTTGCACCTTCCT